AAACACAGTCAATGAGAGGAGCACAATAAATCAGAGCTAGATATCAAATAATTTAACTGTGTATACCTTCATCAATGGGTTCATACTTCATAATAATTTCTAAGGCAGTTGTTTCATTAGCTTCAGTTTGAAATTGTTCTTTTGCAAGAAATTTAAGGAGCTGGCCATCAGGTAGAATGTTGCCATCCATTGAGTAAGCCTTGAACAGTTCTTCAAATTCAGGTCTGTGTACAAGAGCTCGATAAATTGCTTTGAAGTCATCCATGCTAATTATATCTCCTGAGTGTTTGTCAAGGGTTTTCTGAGGAAAAAAAGCAACCAAAAGAGTTTTTTTAAACATCAATAAAACAACATGCATATATACAAAGTTATGCACCAAACATTTTTTTATAACTGACCACAGGATTGAGAATCATAGAAGAATCCTCAGGCAACAGTGGCTACAAACAGATTAAACTCTTCAACTTTTAGATTACACTTTGTGTGCTGCAAATATTTTATATAAAGTAAAATGGACCATATGACATAATTAACATCTAAATAAATAAAATAAATTTAGATTTAATGCCTTTTTAATATTAAAACACGTGGTAGAAAATATCTAAAATGTTATGCATTAAAATAAATGTGCAGCATAAAATTTATCAAGTGGAAAATTTATTTCATGTAATACCTCTCCAACAGCTATTGGCACCAAATTGTAAATACTGTCAGTGAAATTTGCATACAAAAACAGCACCAGTAATCTTAAAAATGAAACAAGGATGACCAAATTCTCAAGAGGTACAAGTCTTTTAACACTTCAAATAAGAAACACTCAAAATTTGAAGATGATATTTTATAATAACCTATGAGGTCATGTTCTACTCTTAACAAGCCAAAATGTTTAACTTAGATTAATTATTCACACTCTCAGAATTCTTGAATTGTAAGTTTGTTTTCATAGAGCTAACAAAATGTTAGTATAGTAATTAATTTCAGTGTTTCGGTATAAAAGCCAAAAGAAAAGTTAAAAGGGCAAAAGAATTTGAGTAGACTAATAGTTTTTATGCCTTTTGTGTTTTTCTCAGGTTTAATTCAATTTTTCCCTTAAAATTTTCTATCCGAAATAAGTAGCTGCATGCAAAATATAAATGTTTCTAATATTTTAGCCTAAATAATTTTAAAAAGTTGCCAAATTAAGAGAAATCTGCTGACAAAATTGCTCACAAAAATCACAAACAAATGGCAATCCACTGCCTCAGTGATCATTACTGTAAACTGATGAAAATTTCTAATTGTTGGCTCCTTAAACTGAGACTGCCAAAGAGGCCAAGTTCCAGCATCCAAAACACGGCACTTCCAATGGCTGGTTTGGCTTCCACAAAAGTGTCTATAAACAGGAAATTGCTTACTTGAGCTCTGGCTGCTCTTTGATCAAGATTTTGGATTACTGCTAAATTAGATTGGTTTTGAAGCCATATCAGAAAAACTACAAGTATAACGATCCATTGCCAATTCCTTCCTATACAGTACAGTTCCTACTGTACCTCTGGATAAGTACAATAGGAATAAAAATATATGAGATAACTAAAACAAGTACAGAATTAAATTTCATAGGGAGTTTTAGTGAAAAAAATCACAAATCAGTGCTTCAGTATTCGCTTTGATTTTGTGAAAGAGAATAATAATGATCCTTTTTAACAGAAATCACTAGCAAGAAAATATTTCTGTACAAATTCGAATTATACACATTTCATTACTGCTGAGAAATTCCCCATCTAAAGTTGATATCCTCAATCCAATATTTAATGTTCATAACAATATGACAAATTTGCTCATAACCATTAAGCAGGAACAGAAAATACCAACTTATTTTGGAAATAAACAGTCTATCCGGGCTTGAAAGATGTTTACTTAGTTACTGGCACAAAGAGAAGCTGGGCAAAAATTTAAAGTTTCTATTTTAGTTGCCTTTTGTTGAAATACAGGCATTAATACTACACAAGAGAGCTCTCCAAATTAAAGTGATAAAAATCATGCCACTATAAAAAGATATTCTTACAATTTTTTGGGGTAGATTTTTATCATTCCTATTTTTATTAATGCACATCAAATCTTTGTTGTTCAGAAAAAGAAGAGACAAAGAGTCCTAGGAGAAATTATATGAAAATTTATTATTCCTTAAACCTTAATGTTCATATTGCTCAAAAGAGTATTACAGTAAAACAAACTCAAAGAGAACAGACAAGGAAAAAAAAGCAGATTATTCCTTAAAATTAGTTTTCTAGAAAATGTTTTTTTTGCTATGTATAACCATTAGATTAACTGCTGATCTGTAGTTACTGACAATGACGTCAGTAAGATTCCCTCCCACAATGCTTTGAATTTTTACATGCTATTACACTGATTAAATATTTTAGCCCCCCAAACTACTGAACACTTATAAATCTTTCTCAAATAGCAAAGAACACCTAACAGTACTGCTATAAATAACTAGATCAGGCTACTGGGTATAATAGGTTGTTAAATACAGCTAGATTAGACTTGTTCTTTGCAGGTCACTTCCCACAAATAATTCCTCTCTTCTCTACCCACAGCTGACGATCACTCTCAGAAACCAAAGTAGGGGGAAGATAAGGAAACAGTGAGAAGTATTTTTAAGTTCTCAAGAGATTGGCTAGGTTGGCAACTATCTCCTTGCATTGCAAGTTCCAAAACCACAGGAAGCCTCTCTAGCCAGGGTTGAGCTCATGCTGCTGCTTCTACCTTGGCTTGACAAGGCAAACAATGAGAGAAGAATACAGGGTGAGGAAAACTTAGTGCCTTCCTTCTCATGACCTGAAAGCTTCTGACTTGCCATAGCTAATTCTTCTCTGCCAAATCAGGACAGAATCAGCCAGCTGCTTGCAACATTCTCAAAAGAATTATATATATATATATATATATAAATGTGTAAATAAATAAAGAAATATACATCTATTTATATATATCTATACACACACTTGTTTTCACTCCCTTAGGGAAACAGCATTACCAGACAGCTGTTTTGGGGGAAAAAATGAGGTAAAGGGGAAAACCTTACATCTTGTGAGTCATTACATGAAGAACATGTACACCCTGTATGTGCCAAGGCACACAGTTTTGTAATATTTGCTCACAGACAAGATCTGCTTGGCAGTAGTTTGCTTACCTACACTAAATTAATTTATTAAGTCCAGTTTCTAGCTGGATGGTGTAACCTTCATGGAAATCTCTTAAACACTGCCACGTCTCAAGGCCAAATCCTTTCCCTGGGGGTTAGAGTGCAATTCCCATCCCTTCAGGCACACCTCTTAAATACTACAGGAGAGGTGTAGTGGAGGATGGAATGAATGTGTGCTGGATCTAAAGCCTGAGCAGCTCAGACAAGTCCATGTTGTCCTCCTGGCAAGAGGATTTTGAGGAAGTTGCTCTCATGGCTCTGCCCAGCAGCAGACAGACGCATCTGGGCTCATTAGCTTGATCACAGAATAAGCTGAATAGGATAAAACCAGAATGTTTTAACTTTTCTCAAGCCTGGTCATTTACAAAATATCTGGAAATCAAAATCGATGTGTTTTCCATCTGACATTAATTCGTTGTGGTGAAAAGACAGAGTTACGGATGTCAGTCTCTTCTCTGAGTAACCAGCAGTAGACAAGCAGAAGGGGACTCAAATTGTGACAGGGATGGTTTAGATTGGCTATTAGTAAAAATTTCTTCATTGAAAGTGTTGTTAAGCATTGGAACAGGCTGTCCAGGGAAGCATCTGAGTTACCAGTCCTTGAAAGCATTTATGAGACCTGTAGATGTGGTGCTTAGGGACAAGGTTTAGAGGTGGAGTTTTCAATGAATTAATGGTTGGACTCAGTGATCTTAGAGGTATTTTCCAATCTAAATTATTATGATTCAAATGCAAGCCATGGGTTATCTATTTTACACAGAAATAAAAGACCTGGAGGAGGAAAATTCTTTGCTGATTTTGCATGCCACTTTAGCATGAAATATATTTCCCAAAAAATCAACTTGAAAAAATCAGCAAATGTATGATGTGTGTAACTGAACTTCTAAACTGTTAATTTTTTAATGTACATACACCTTACCTTGAAAATATGTTTTAAATGGTCTTCATCAAAATTTATTTGCATTTTTTCAAGCAGCCTCATGCAACCCTCGAAATCAATATTCCCAGTTTTGAAATCATTCTGAATGATATTCCAAAACCACGTATGAGACATGGGGTTAAGGAAGATTTTGGCCCATGAAATTGCCCATTAATGGGAGGATGAGGGGGAGAAGTTTAATTTTGTTACACCTAAGAAGATTGTGCTTTCCTTTTCTCATACTCTAGAACATCCTTGTCTTTTGATATCTGAAATTGCAGCAGGCCCTGAGGTGTGCAGGAAGAGATTTCTGCTCTGTCCTTAGAGACTCAGAGGGCAGCGGCCAGAAGGGCTGAAGGGAGGGTGTGATGGAAATCTGGGGGTGCTCAAAGGGGTGCAGGGAGAGGAGGGAAATGTGGGGGGGCCCAAGGGACTCAACAGCAGCAGGGAATAGTGGGAAGTGCCGAGAAACACCTAGGAATGAGTGCCCCCAGCACTGTGACCCCCCAAACATTATCACCCGGCTCTGGCTGACGGGACTGGCTGCCCCAGGCCATCCCTGCCACCCTCCTGTGTGCCCAGGCCTGAGGGGAGAGGACATGTCGGGGGGGTCCCAATGGCAGCTGTCACAGGGCAGGGAAGGGAGAGGAGGAGGAGAAGGCAGCAGAGGGAAAGGATATCTGTTCTCATCCATGGCGGCTGTGCTCCAGCCCCCTCACTGCAGTGGCATTGCCAGCCCCTGGCTCGGGCTCACAGCCCTCATGCCCCTGCGCGCTGCTCGGGCGGCGCGGAACGTTCGTCCCCATCCTTCCAGTGTTGCTGCACTGCCGCTCTGGTGATGTCACAAACCACCCAGCACAGGCTCCTTCCTGCCACCACCATGTGCCTTGTCCTTCCTTCCAGCACAAAATGTCTCCCACACCCTGCCCTCACCCACCCTCAGGATGTCCTACACCCTGTGCCGAGGTGGGAGGCACCTGCAGCCACCTCGGCCAGTGTCGTCCTCCTGAGGATTTTGGCCAGCTTGTCCGAAGCCTCTCTGCTCTGCTGCAAGGTGACAAGCTGGTGAGGCAGGAAGTCACCACAACATCTTCCCCAAAAAAGCAGCAGCACTTTGCTACCGAGCCGCTGCAGCAGCTTCAGGGGAGTCCTTTTCTGGGCCTTGGGGAACCAGCCGGCTCCACGGCATGGGGTGATGGTGGATGTTGGGGAATGGTGACAGGACACCCCAAAAGGCTCAGATGCCACCCTAAATGGCTGTGAGGCCACCCCAAAGGGCTGGAAAGCCACTCCAAATGGCTAGGAGGCCACCCCAAAGGGTTAAGAGGCCACCCGAGCTCCCACTTCACTGCAGGGAACTGCTGTACCCTAAAAACCAGCCCAGGCAAGAGCAGCTGTCCATGTCCTGCTTTGAGGCACACCAGAATCAGCCTTCCAATCATTGGGACAACCTTTGGAAATCAGGCTGGACTTTCACCCTGACTCCATTTCCCATTTCCCACTCATTTTACAGACATTCTTCTCCAGGCAAAGTTGCCAGCTTCCATGTAGCTGTCAGCAAGGCTGAGTGAGACTCTCAATGTGACAGACCAAAGGCAGTTTGCCACGAGTTTTATGAAACTTGTGAAAGCTGAGGACACCAAGTTTTGTGTTGACATTCTGGTAAACATTCAGGTTTTGTCAGAGGCTATATGGGGGGGAAATCTGTCAAGGAATTCCCCGTTACTCACGATTTTATGAACCAGAATAAACTATGGAATGATCAGCATCTGAGCACAAAGGTCTCCAATGCTAAAGTGCCTCAATGCTTACTGAGATGCTATCTTTGATATGATGAGCTAAATAAAAAACAGGGACAAAAGACAAAATGGAGTTGTTTAATTGATTTATTTCTGCATCACTCAGGAGAGTACAGAGACTTCCATCAGTCAATCACCACTTTAAAAATAATTCAGGTCTGCAGTGACTGGAAATAATCTGGGACTTTTTTGGGTTTTTTTTCTACTTTCTTCATGTAGTTTTCAAGTACTTTATCAGTAATGGTCAAAATGTCAAAGGCAGCACAGTGCTACATGTGAGATAATAAGCAAATTCTTACTTTCCTTCGTATGTTTAACCAAAATTATATTCACTTATGTAGCATCACACCAAATGAAACATTGATTTTAAGGAAGTTGGTATGGTAGATTGGCAAGGATTGGCACATAATATCTAGATTTCTTTCATTGCTACAGAACCCCTGTAAATTCAGCCTTCAGGCTTTGCTCATGCATTTATCTCTAAATCCCTTATACAGGCACATGAACAAAAGGAAGATCAGGACACTGGAGGAATAAATTTCTTATAGATAGTGCAGAAATATTTCAGGACTGACCAGGGATGTAGGCTGGGTGTTGCAGCATTAAAGAATAAAGTAATGCAACTCCCTTCTCCCAGTATTTATTACAAAGGCCAAAGGAATGCATGTGATTTTGGTTTACTTTCAAACTGTGATAGTGATTATTTCCTAACATCTATCCTAAATTTTTACAAATGCCTACCAACTTTGCTGTTTTCTGTAAACATCACTTTAATTAGAGTTTCAACAGAAACGAAGTTTAATTTCAAGCACTACTATAAACACTACACTTAGGGAAAAAAAGTGTGAACATGTAAGCATTATTCTGACAAATATTAGATGTTTTTAACATAAGCATAAGATTTTGCTGCTGTTCATCACAGCTGGTGAGAATTGCAGTGCTACAAGTCTTGAACATGCCCTTTTGTAAATACATGTGGCTTTAGAGATTCACTGCTGACTGGCCATGATTGCTTTCATTGCCTTGGTTTCAAAATGCCATCAAAAACTACACATTGCTATGGTTTTGAAGAGAAAAAACATTGTGCAAAAATGAGCATCTTCAGGTTATTCTTTTGAAGGAAAATGAAGATTTTGCATACTTAATGCCCTCTGATTTGGGAGGTTCCTTTCCCTATGTATCTGGATATGATAATTAATTTCCAAGAGAAATAAATGCAGCTGTACAAGGAAAAGGGTGCAGCATAGAGAGCATTTTCTGTGCTCCCTTGATTCTTCAGAGAGAGCTGCATTACCTATGGGTCATTTTCTTTTCACCCCACAGCTGCTGCTGAGATCCAATCCTTTAGTGCCTGTGTTGCTGCTGGACACCATTCAATGAGCAAGCAGCTGTCTTTACATGGAATTTGGTTGAATATGTGTTTATTTCTTTATTGAAAGTAAAAGTAATTTTAATAAAAATGTTATACAACCTAGGGCTGCTATAATGAAGATGGCCTGTTGGGAGTGTAGTTTACATCTGCAGTACCAAAAAATAGAAGAAATTTTGGGCATAGATTTAAGTGCTAACAGACACAGATATAACACTAGAAATTCTGGATTTGAAAAAATCACTTTTTTCACAAATATTGAACATGAACAAAGAATAGGGAATAATAAAGAACAATGAAAAAGACTAAACAGTTAAACGACTTTCAGTTTCAATATTTATTCCACTAGATCAATCCCTTATGAGATGCAAATATATGGCATTTTGCAATACACTTTTTGGTTCTGTTGAATTAAATTCTCTCTACTTTAAAATGCTGTTTCTATATGGCAAAACTGTAGCAAGGAGTGCAATAAGAAAAAGCATTTAATATTGCAGTATCAGTCAATCAGTCTACCTTTATGAACTTTTCATTTTCTTTCAATTTCCTTCCTCTGTAAAAGAGGGAATCCATGAAATGAGAATCTGCAACAAAAGCTCCTCAGAAGGATGGAATTTCAGCAGAATAAATGTTCTGATCTGACTGAAAATGCTCACTCATCTTTTGCAAAGATATGAAATTAATCTGGAAAAGGTAATTACAAAATAGGCTTTCTCAATTTTCCCTCTACATTCTTCAGGATGGGCTTGGATTTTTTTTTTTTTTTTAATTTCTTTTGGACAGTGGAAACTTGGGGTAGAATAAACATTATGAGAAGACGCTGAAGGTGTACACCTCCATGGAAAACTTCAGGAAACTTTTATTTATATAATTTTGTGGCTCTGAATGTCTTTGAGATTTAGTTGCTGCTTGGTTTTTGTCTATAAATGATTTTTTGTTGTTGCACAGGGAATACATGCCAACTTTTATTATCTTTATTCCTAGAATAGCCTCCTTTTCTCTCTAGTGCTTTGAAAACTATTTACATTCTTATAGCTCCTTGTGAAACCCTCTTTTTTTTTTCCAGTTCCCTGTATTTTAACAAAAGAAATGAAGGATTGGCACATATAATATATGCATATTTATATCTACAACAAAAATTGTCCAGCCTTATCAAGCAGCAGGTTCCCACTGCAGTCAGGAGCACAGCACATCTGGAATTGAAGTTCTGTCTTATTTACAATCATAATAATCTGCTGGTAAAGACTTGCTGTGTGCCTTCAAAAATATATTATCATCAGGTATCTTTTGGTTCTTCTTATCTTGGGTTGCTCCTTAGCAGCCATGGTTCTTTGTCTCAAGGAGAAGATTACCTGCTCCACAAGTTCATAACAGCTTTACACAGAGGTGATTTTTCTTTCAAAATAAAACAGGAACTTTATTAAAATTCTGCTCCTCCATTTTCAGGCTTTCAGACTCATAGGAATCACCTAGTTGGTAAAAATGTACCTGAGCCAAATTGGCTCAATTTTTTTTATTTCTGATTATAATTTTGAATCTGTCATTAATTGTTGCTGTAAAGAAAATTTTCATATTTATTTTGCCAGTAACATTAGAGTTTAACTTGGACTTCATTGCCAGCTTACAGCTGCATTAAAATGAGAAGACACTTAGTATTTGGACTGAATATTTAATGTTCACATTATAAAGTTTGCTTCTTGTTTTGCTGGTACTACAGCAGTTGGAAAACCTATCAAAATGAAAACAGTGAAACAAGTGTAATGCTTTCATATTCAAATATATGTGTGGAATTAAAAGCTAATTTATTTTTTGTTTCAGAATAGATAGGTAAATCTGTAACAGACAGTAAAGACTCCAGTTATCTGTTGGCAGAAAGCAAAGTCTATCAGTATTCCTAGTCATTGGAAGAAATTAATATTTTCCTCTTTACATTTTCCAAAATTTTTTTCTTTGTTTCCATTTGTGGAATGGAAAAGACAATTTTTGTAAAACAAAACACCTTGCTTGTATGTCTTCCAGCTTGCAGTCTGCCCTAAAATCTCCACTATATGCCTTACTGCCCATTCCTTTCCAAATTCTGGGAAAGAAAATAAAATATTATTATAAAACAGAGGAAATAAAAATGAAGGAAATCCACAGAACCTCCTGTCAAGTGTCTCTCTCTCACTGAGCTCAAACAATCAACACATTAATGCTGCAGCTATAGTAAGACTAAATTCAAGGATTATTTTCCCTTCTACAGTAGGAATGGCTTAAAATTTTCAATAAATCTGAAAAAGCAGATTTAGTACAGGCCAAGTGCAAGATATTGTCTAAGTCTGTATGTCAGTATGCCATTCCTGCCCAAATAGTGGAATTTACAGTCCTTTTTAATGAAAGCTTCAGAGTTATAAAACATGTGGAATGGTTTCAAAAAGTCACTGTTTCAAAAAATAACTATTTTGAGCAATTCAAAGCATAGTATCCTGGGATTCTCCAAAGTTACAAGACATATTTGTTATAGAAAGGCTTTGGAATCGTCACCATACAAAACTGAGGGAATAAGAGACAACAACAACAACAACAATAATAATAATAATAGTAACATAAAAACTGAAGGAATAAGAGATGCTAATGATGATTATTATGATAATAATAAAAAAATAATATTTTAAACAAATTACCCATGCTATATTAGATCATTAATGTAATCATTTATCCTTGATGGAAAAAGGAACTACCTTACATCCTAAAATTAATACACAGAAAATATCCTGAGATATTTTTTAGCATCCTAGGATCCTAATAAAGTCTGTCGATAGTGACAGAGATTGCAAATGAGACCTGTCTAGGGGCTGTCCTTCTGTATGTCCCCAGAAGTGCAGATGAGACACATTTTCAGGGGAATGGAAGGTCAGTGTTTAGGTTAGAGTAGAGACAACAAGGGTTGGCTCTTAAAAACTGAGGTAGGGATTAATATAATTATATGGGATAAGTGTGCAAAGCAGCCATGATCCCAAATGAAATTCTCTGATAGCTGATGAAAGTTTCTTTCACAAAATGAAAAAGCATTAAGAAACAAGAAAATTTCTATCCTCGTTGAAATTTAGAATTGCAAACCTACATCCTCAAGCATGCTGCTGTGCTCTCATGTACAACAGCTTTTTTTTCTGCAAAGACTCAAGATCTACCTGCACAGATCTCAGATGAGTGCACCAGCCCCTGGCAAGCCTGAAGCTATTTAGGTGTGCTCATCTTCACTGGCAGAAAGCAAAGGATCAAAAGTCTTTGCTTACTCACTTATTCATTGCTTTTTCTTAAACACATTTTTATTCTTAAACACAACAAGTTCAGAAGCCTGAGGAAGACAAAACATGGAGTATAGTGCTGCTCATGTAATTTTACTGTTATCTGACTTCTGAGACACAGCCTGCCCACCAAGGAGTTAGACTTTACCCCAAATACATAGATCAGGCCATACTAAATCCTACACATTCAACTGAGATGAAAATATGGGTTTGTGCTCACAGTCATTCGTGTTCATGGCTGGAGACTGTCACAGTGGCATCAATCCTCCAGTCATTCTACCTGGGCACATGGTGAAATGCCCATTTCTATGGCTCCTTTGCCCACCTACTGACATTTCTTTCCCTTGGAAGGGAATGTTTAATTTGGGATTCAGCTGGGACAGGAGGTTGGGACAGCATA